TAAAGTGTTAACTTTAGAAAAGTTAGTATTCAAGGAAACAAAGCAGGACAGCATGAACATAAATACAGTAAAATATTTCATATTAGGACAATTCAATATTAAAATCATCTTTAAAGTGTCAATTAGGTTGAGTAGCAAGCATTGCTGATTACACCCCCCCTTAGAAATAGTACAAATATAGGTTTCTTTAGAGGCTGGACTCGTCCGGGAGGTCTGCGATGATTGCAGTGTTCTTTCTGTAGATGTAGGCGTTAGGATTATCATCCAGCTTCACCAGCTCAGCCAGCGATGATACGCAGGGATCGTGATCGACGAGCATCTTGGGCAGCTGGCTGGATTTGTTGTGGATGCGGGAGGAGCGGCGCACAGGTGTCAGAAACTTGAGGTCATTAATGTTGCTCTTTCTCCTGGATGCACTCGTGCCGACCTCGCCTTCAATTGTTTTTCTGACACTGAAATGTTGAGAGAATCATTTAGTAAGAGTTAAGAACGAAGTGGCTCAAATAATCAAGTAACTGAACAGATTTGCTAAGAGGAAGTTGACCGGCTCACCTTTGCAAGTATGGCGTTGTTTTCACGCTGTATTTGATCACTGATGCATCTTCCATCTCTGGAGTAGTCTCGATCACGTCGTCATCATCATCATCATCATCACTTTCTACATAATCCATCTCCACTTTCTGATCATCACTTTCTTCTGCTTCATCCTTCACCTGCTTACCAGCATCCTCCGGCATGTCAATCTTCAGTTCCTCCGCTTTACATTCATTTATAGGCTTGCTGTCCTCCATTTCACTGTTGCACTTATCTGTCAAACCTGTGAGTTCTTATCAACACAAATGACAAATATGTCAACAAAGGCATCAGATATTTAAAGAAATGACATAATGCTGATTATTTTACCATCGCTACATCTCGATGGCGTTTCCATGGCCTCCAAGGCATCACAGAGATTCACAACAATCTATAAAACAAAGGGAGGAGATCTTTGATGTTCAATATTATACATTTTAATCGAGCTAATTAGAAGGTGAAACCATGCTCCATTTCTGCTTACATCATCCACTCTGTCTTGTGACTCAGACAGATCCCCATCAGAATTTTCTAGGTCTAGTGTAGTGTTCATGATCACTGGAGTTTGGCTGGATGCTGTTGGTCCTGCCCTCTGAGTATCTCCACAAGAAACAGTGCCTACAGCAGTGTCAGCGTTGTACATTTCGAGTCTTGGCTCAGGCATGTGGCGTGCAGCAGGCTGAGATGGAAGTTTGACGACAGGTTTTGTAGAAACTTTGGTTTTGGAGGGCTTTGCTGTCGGCATGGCTGGTCTCTTGAGAGCCTTTCCCTTTGAAGCCAGCCACTCAGCCAGTTTTGCTCTGTAGAAAGCACATTAATAAATTACGTCTTTTACTTTTTATTTTATTGTAATACAGCAAACATCGCATGTTTGTGTGGAACATCTTACTTTCTCTCTTCTGCAGTCTCCATAGTAAATCTGTATTGACTGATAGTGTTTGAGGCAAGAGGCTTGCTGACCTTCTTGTCAGGTTCTGAAATCTGTGTCTTTGGGTTGTGAGTCCCACCTGCCTTGGTGGGAGCCACAGTAGTGTTTCTAGAGCCAGCAGTGGTTAGTGTTGCTGGTACGATTCTTGCAGGCGGGCGAGCAGAGGAGAATCCAGCAGGATGACGACTGCTGGCAGCAGGCTTGGAAACCTGAGCAGGTCCATCAGACACCGACTTGGACCTCACTGGTGCAGGTTTTTGAGTACCATGTCTCTGCATCTCAGCAGCAGATTTGGACCTTCTTCTTGCCATTTTTCCAGGCCTTTGGTTCTCAGTTTTCAGTGCTGATGGGTTAGGATCCATTATACCTGCACTTGCCTTCCAAATAGACCCAATTTTTGACTGGACAATCTTTCCTTTATACATTCCTAGAGCATTCCTTGATAACGACACAGCAGCTGGTGCCGGTTTCTGGGCCTCAGGCACTGACCTAGTGTCAGTTTGTTTAGCCTTAGCTCTAAGGGGCTGACTCTTTGGTAGGGTCTGCTGTTTTGGGCCATTTTTCAGTTGGAATGGCACAACAGATGTTTTCTCTCTTTTTATAATTAACTTTCTTTCAGGTGCAGGCTGGGCATTTTCCTTGTTTGCCTGTTACAAAACAACAACAACAACAACATTACATCATGATATCTGCTAAATTCAAGATGGGCTTCAAAAAAAATGTCATGTTATGTCAGCTTACTTTCTTACTGATGTGGTTCCGTCTTGAAACTGCAACTTCCATTGTGTAGCCCGTCAAAAGTGCTTAAATTAGTCAGGAATGCTGGAATGTGAGCAAAGCAAGGAATACACTGCGTGATTAGTTATTAATATCATCTTGCACGTGAAGTGCTCGAAATTCAATCATTTAGTAAAAGCTAAGAACTTAAATTTCACTTTACGTGTTGAATACGCATATGCAGTACTCTGTCGTAAATTAAGGTGAGCTAGCTAAGCTAGCTATAACGTTAAAGAACACAAGTTGGACATAATGAAAATTTGCCGTTAGTCTCCGATAGTGGGCTAAAGTAATGTTTATATATGAAACACTGACTTACCCCTTCGTTATAATCTTCCAAGAAACCCCTCCACCTCAGCCCCACAGCTCAATCTGAGGGAAAAACACGGCTCGTTTTGCTTCTTCAGGATTTGACTTGGCGCTGCAGCGCTCCAATTGGTCACCTCGGTATCGCGAGAAACCAAAACCAACCAATAAAATATCTCCAAACTAAGCGCGAGAACAACAGATAACGTCATTCTTCCAGCCCTTAGGTTTGAATCCCCCCTTCTGTTTAAATGTTTGAACCCAAATAAAATTCCTGTAATACCGGTCCGTGCTGACCGATACACACCCAACGTTGCCCTTAAAAAAAGAAGTCGAGACAGTTAAACACCAGCTGTCAGGAAATAGAGTTGGAACAAACGAATACACGAGAGTGTGATTTATGAAAGCCTCTACTGTATTAAGCGGTGCTTTTATGTCAGTCTTCACAAGCCTTTAACTTTGTTTTCTGCACAAGTACATAAAAGCAAATTATCTTTTTAAAATAAGCATAACAGCCAATGACTGTGTGTGATATATTAATATTACGGATCCCACGCCTCAGCACAAACACAAGATACATTTGGGCTTATGCCTCGGCATGTTTGAAAAGACCGCTGAGGATTATGGGACAGAAAAGAAACGCGCGCTCATCTGATGCACGTTATTTTCCAAGTCAAGCTACTCATGTGCTAGAATAACAGCCTTCAGAATAAAGTCGCATGAGCACGTGAATTATAACGGCATATATTGCATACCGAGGCGGCAATTTGTAATTTTATCCATGCATTTGTTATTTGTTTGCTTATATGGGCCGCGTTCTAGGCATTTTCATTGGGTCTATTTAAATTCATTAACCTTTTTTGTGCGTAAGCTAGAAATATAGAGTAGTTTTAAAAA